TTTGGTCATTTTTGTTTTGGTTATGTAAGGACAGTGTCTGAACATGGTCTTTTCCTTCAGAGTTTCAAAGTGAGAACTACTTAGACCATGAGGGAAGATTAATGAGATAATGACAAGGGTTATATCTGTTGATGTTACTCCTGATATTATAAACCCCATGTTTCCCACTCTACATTTTAAAAGTGCTTGTATAGGTACTATAATGAGTCTTGCACAATAGCTTCTTACCTATAATGCTGTTTCTGCGAAACAGTATTGATTCAGTGGTAAGTGTGGAAATAGCAAAGGCACAGCTGAAATCCTCTATTCCTAGCAGTGCTCTGAAGATAAAAATGAGACATTGCTGGTTTTTAATTCTCCTCATTATTCCCTAGAAGGAAAAGTTATATTTGTGCTGCCTCTAGGCAAAGTACCATCCCACATGAACAAAAGAATGAAACTAAGATCACATTCATTTCATCTTACTGCTGCTACTCCTGCACGGAAGCTCTCCGCAGATGCTTAAGTCCCTGACACTGTATCTTCAGTGCTCATATGTCACAGCAAATGATTCATTAAAAATGCATAGACAGATTGATCTTAGAAGAGGGAAAAAAGATCTGGAGTTTAAGGCGAAAGGAAAATAGAAATGTTAAGCCAAAAGGTAGAAAAAGGAAACACCCCCAAAACTCACATGAGAAAGGCATGCAAAAAGACATTTAAAACGAAAGAGGAAACAGCAACTGTGTTGACATTTAATATGTCTATTTGGGATAAAACTCATCCTTTTACTAGCAATAAGAGCAACAGCCTAGAGAAAGCCCAAAGCCCTTAAAGCATTTTGCATCAAGTACCTCACAAAAATGGGAGGCAATTTCTGCTAAGGTCTGTACAATATTTGTACCAAACTACCTATTATTTTTTTTTAAATGTAGTTAAATGGGAGCAAATCCCTAATGCAGATATAGATAGCTCTACTGATATTGTGTCTATGATGACGTAACTGAAACAATATTATGGTGCTGCATCCATGCAACAAAACTGTTTTTTATTGTTTGCATACCAAAAATGAGCATATTTGTACCTCTCCTTATTTGTTTCTTTTCATATGCTACATTAGGTCGGTCTGCAAAGGATGCAAGGCTTATGTGCAGCACCAGTGGGGCTGAAAACAAGCCGATGCTTCTGGAGTGGTATGAAAGTCTGAGTGGGCTCCCTGAGCCTAGTTACCAACAGTCATCCTAATTCATATACCGTTTGCCGTGGTCCCATTAGGCCTCAAAACTGGGAAGGAAAAGAGCGAAAGACATGGTTCATTCGTGATTCCTGTGGTCCTGATAAACACGTGATTGACAAGACCAACCCTATACTACTACTGTTTTTGTAATATTTGGCCTGGATGGCCAGAAGGCTTTACTCTGCTAAAGGGATCCTGCAAGCAAAAAACCACCCATGCTTAAGAATAATAAGCTAGTCGAGTACGAGACACCTCCTTACTATGACATTCATGCAAATGGTGTTATATAGATGACATATTTATTCTATTTTTATTAAAAATAATTGGTAAAATACAAATATGGACCATAATTTACATTCTGTCAGTAAAAAAAAAAAAAGCCAAATACCTACAATGGGAAGTATATATATTCACACACACACGTACAATAGCAGTATTTTTAGCTATAATTTCCTACTCATGTGGCAACTTGACGAGCATTTTGAAGAAGCTGAGCCAGCCAAATACACAATGGGAAGTATATATATTCACACACACACGTACAATAGCAGTATTTTTAGCTATAATTTCCTACTCATGTGGCAACATGACGAGCATTTTGAAGAAGCTGAGCCAAGTGAAAATACAACCTGCAGAACAGGTCACGTTTAAATATTCTGCTATTGAAGAATATTAAAAACTACAGATTAAGTAGGAGTGTTGTAATACTTGCATTAATTAATGCTTGTAAATCATTCTGAAATACTTGGATAAAAGATGTCATAAAAAGTGTTGCCACATGTCTTGATGCTTCTAGATGTGCACAATCCTATACATCTTGTTTTGCTTTTTGGAGGTTTCAGATCATCAAAAATATGGTCAGTGGATGAATTTAGTGTTGGTAAGTGTTTGAACACAGCAGAGAAACACCAAGATGCCCGAATCCTGATTAAGAACTCCAGCAGACACCTCAATATAAATAGACTGAAATATCTACATTTCTTCATGTCTGAATCCGAGTGCCAGTGGTGGATCACCAGGGCTAGTTACCGAACACCTCTGTTGATCAGTGAATTAGCACAGCTCAGAGAGCTTGGCAATGTTACTCAGCCTTGACTTGGCTGTATATCCACATATGTGAAATATCTTACACATAATATTCCTGCCCATCTAGTACCACCTAGTATTTATATCACCAAAAAACTTAGACTGTACCATCAAGCAGCATGAAAAGGAAGGTATCTGAAATCACTCAATACATGTCTATGGTTAGTGAACAGCATACCAGTTTTCAGAGGGCTTGGTACTTCTTGCTTATGCAAACGCTGCCCTTTATAAAAATACAGAAATTAAAGGCCAGCATTAAGGCCCTTATGCTTTCCAGCATTGATCGCCAGATCCAAGAGACACATCTTCCTTATCATTCAGAGACAAGTAACCCATTTTATGCATCCATTTAAAAAAAAAAAAGGGTAGGGAGTCTCAGCAAACGCATGAAGGACCAGAAGTGCTGTCCTTAAGAAGGCTAATTTGGTGCAAAAGTATTTTATCTAGAGGGACACAAAGTACCACCAATATACACATCTTCCCCAAAAGGTGAGAACACTGGAAATCATTCACCCTTGCTGCTCTCTCCCTCCTCTGTTCCAAACCAAGCACATGTGCTGCTTTATACCCACATTCCGGAGCACAGACCGTTTGTTCCGCTCTTGCACAGCACGTAAAACAATGTAGTGCTGTGCCTGTCTCAGGAACTTCTAAAGGCTATCTCACTAGAAATAAATACTGCAAGCCGCTAGACTGCGGCAGCCAAAGGACAAACAATGATAGGAAACAGAAGTTTGTTGTGATTTGGAGGGAGGCTAAGCAAGCTGCCAGAGGCAAGAGGCGCAGCCACCATGTGAGCAGAGCACCCTGTTCTTCAGGGCAACCGGCGCAAACGTAATTAATTGCACGCGATACCCTCTGTAGGTACAACCACCTATTAACGTACTATCTTGGCGTGACAGCGTCTGAAAGCAAGGCTATAAAACACACTCTGGATGCCATGGCAGCAGCGATTACCCCCAAGGAACATGCCCGCCGTGGGGACCACCACGCGCCCCGTCACCTACCAGGGCTCCCTCTCAGGGAGCAGCAGGGGCATTTCAGGCCGGGGGAGTGAGGCAGAGGGCCGGGGAAGCAGCGTTTGAGGCCGCTGGTAGCGACCCACAGCTTTACACCAGGTCTCACAGCGTTTTTTACGGCAGTTTTTTTTGTCACAGCGCTCCGTCACCTGAAAAGGGCCGCGCTCAGGGAGAAAAGCTCCCGAACACCAAGAACAAGCGCCGCAAAGGTATATTAATAACAACGGGGGGTGGGACCGGGAGGCGCCAGCTCCCCTCCCCGGGCGCCGGCGGGGCGGGGCGCGGCGAGCAGGTGCCGGCGGGCGGCGCAGCCAGGCCCGTCCCTCACACCTGCCGGCCGGCAGGGCGGCCT